TCGCCTCCAAAATACACTTGTTTGATTTCCCATGTGAACATAGTACACAGTGACACCCATAGCTTTCACCATTCAGAGACTCACTCACTCAGCCTCTCACTGTGCTCCGCATTTCAGAGTAATTTTCACTCCTGACACCACGGCTCTGCCTACCTGCCAATTTCTGTCTCGGTTCCTGAATGGGTGATTTGTAAAGCCATGTTCACCTCAACACTCAGAAGATTTACTCAGGAGTGAGCTTGCCAGGTATTTGAGCTGTCAGTTTGCTCTGTGTTCGCAAACTTGCTGAAGGGAAAGTAATAGCCATACTCAGCCAGTTGACTCAGCCAGCTGAGTTGCCGTTGGACTTACAGTGGAATACATATGGTTCTTACTATTGATTTGAGAATTGCAGCAACAAAAGCTGGCTGTATTTCACGGTAACATTTGAGGTTTAGTCGAAAGTCGGCTTTCTTTACGACTTGTTTTTTTCTGAAAAACATTACACGCATATGCAGACAACCTCACATTTAATGACTGAATTACCTACGCCTTTAGAAAGCCATTCCTTCAATGCCTGTATACATGTTGTTGTCTGCTCAACTTACGTTTTCGATTTGGCTTTACATCTTCCAGGTTTTTCTTTTCCTGGTTATGCTCCCTCCTTCCTATCACCGTGATTTGTAAACAAGATGTAGTTGTTTTTAGGGCTGGAGGTCGTTGATTTGTCTGCCTCTCCCCGTAGGTCATTGAGGTCACCATGGCCCCGGAAGCATCAAGCTTAGAAAATGAGAAGCCCTACTCGGCTCTCCCGCTGGCGACCGGGAGCACCCCTTGCCCGCGCCCGCCCTGATGATTAATGCCACCCCCGTCCAGCCACAAACCTTTCTGCCTCAGATAATGCCAGGCAGCAAGCGCGGCTGACACTTTTAATGTATAATTAAGTAGAAAAAGTCAGCACTGGCTATGCAAATTTTTTAAAATGATAAATGACGCTGTACAGCAGCAGGGATTGATTTGGTGTAAATGAAACTAATTAAGGAAATGTCAAACATAATTAATAAAACAGGTTTAAGCTGCAAAACATTGTCAATTGAATGAATGAGGAGGCATTGGCTCCCATTGTTCAGGCTTTATTTAGGTCTTGTGTTTAGCTTGTTCCCTGCTCCAGAATGCTCTCTCCCCTCCTCACTCCCTCCACCACCAATTCCCTGAGAGGGGGAAAATAAATTTGCTTGTCTCTCCGCTGACTGTAGAAATTAATTGCTGAAATCTTGTCCCATCCAAGTGTTACATTCACACGCAGGACATTAACATAACTAATTTGAAAGAGCTCAAATGACTGCATAATGGAGCTCCGTCACCATGCATGACAGTCGCTGGTCATACCAAATTAGCTTGGTTTTATAATTGAAAAATTTCCCCCCCTTTCTTATTTTTACACCATTTCCCTCCTCTTTTTTTTTTCCATATACTTTTTCTCGTCTTCCTCGCTCCTCTTCCTTCCGCCGTATCGTTCTTTTTTGCTCTGTTTTCTTGATAAGAACAAAGGTTTTATAATTTACAAAAAGAGTGCTTGACCTATAATTAGAGAAGAGGAGTGAGGGGAAGAGGAGGGGGAGTGCCAAGTGGTGGCGGCAGAGTCAGATCCTTAGTCCTGGTAATGATGCTGGAGACCTTGTGGCCCCCAGGGAGGCAGAAGAATAATGGGATGGGCTATTTTTATGGGGGAGCAAAGCAATGGGCCACCAGCCGCTGGGATGCTGGTGCCTGGGTATGGTGCAGAGCAGCAGGGGCTAGCAGGGGGCTAGTGGGGGGCAAAGGAGGGTGAATACTCAACCTGCCAGATTGCCGGCTCTCAGCCCTGCCCATCAGTTCTGTATGTCAGCCTGATGCACCGCTGTCGGCCTCCGTGCCCCCACGCCAGCCGCTTCCCTTGCCGCGGAAACAGCGAGACAGAGCGAGGACTGTATGTGTGGGTGGATGAGTGGGTTGGAGGGAAGGGGGGGGGGTTAAAACATCTGCCACTCAGAGGAGAACAGAGGGCTCAAAGATACAAGGTGAGGGGGGCATATCACAGCGAAGTGATGCATCTTGGATAAACACACATGACTGGCCATGTATAAAAATGATAAAGACCCTGATAAGAAAATACTTAGTAAAGTTATTCTTTGCCTTTGTTCGAATCTCATTGGATGAAACGATTTGCATGTGTCAAGATCCTTATGAGTCCTAAATACTGCTAAACTAACCAAATCCTCAACTTTGTCCATCTAAAGTTTGTAGCAGTCAAGTGGAGTTTTATATCCCACCCAGTTTGCCCTTTTGTTAACTAAAAGTAAAAAAAAAACAAAAAAGTTCTTAAACTGTAAACGCTATTTACTATTGTGTATTGTTTGACCCAAACCCGGTGCTAACACAGATATCGTTAATAATGTGCATGTGTGCAGAGTGCTGCGGCAGACCTATGGCTGCCAATATTTTTGTGTTTTGGTTCTACACACTCTAACCACTGCTATTTATCATACTCCCACATAACAATTCTCAAGAGTTAAAGTAGCAAAAGAAACAAAAACAGGAAAACAAAAAGTACAAGAACAAAAGAAAAGGAAAAAAATAAAAAAAACTAAACAAAACAGGAAAATAAAACTCTGGAACAGTCACAGTCTTTATTCCCATTGCATTTTCACTCTCATCTTTATTTCATTATTCCAGCAAGGACTCTTATGCTTTTAAAAGTAAGCCCAAATCCTGGACTTTTGTGCTGTTTGTGTATTTTTTTTATGCATAACAGTAACGGCTTTACAACAGCCGTAGCCCCACCATCACCCACGGAGCTAAGATGAATTTTACAGCAACGCTTTGTGCTCTGCAGATGTGTTTATTGTTTAAAACACGATCCTTTTAATGGATATCCTTTCAATGAACTATTTTTGCTTCTTATTATTCCCGTGACCAATGAAAGTGCGCATAGACTGGTAGTAAGCAGCCCATAATGAGTGCGGTCGGTCCACTGAGCTGTATGTGCTGAACTGAGCTCAAGGATATAATTTCATATGAATTATTACCACATGCATTTCTCCTGAAGCACTTAAAAGGTTATAACATGCCCGCATATTAGAAGTGCTGTGTCTTTCTGGTGCCCAAGCTGCAGATGAAGTTATGGTCTTTGTTTATTGCTTGCCGACTACATTGTACTGTACATACATTAATTCGTGCATGCTTTGCTGCAATACACAAAATAGCGTTTAATTTTAGCATTGTATTAAACAACAACTAAAAGCTGTAGTACATGCACGAACACACCAGTAGGGCTGCAGCTAATTATTATTTTCATTCTTGATTAATCTGTTGATTGTTTTCTCAATTAATAGTTTGGTCTATTAAATTAAAAACAAAAAAGAAATGGTAAAAAAAAATATGTTGATCAGTGTTTCCCAAAGCCCAAGATGATGTCCTCATTTCTTTTCCCGTAAGCCAAAGATATTCGGCTTACTGTCACAGACAAGAGGTCAGAAAGTATTCAAATTTCAAAGGCTGGATTTATAAGATTCTGTTTTTTTTCCTGTGTAAAATACTGACACAGATGAATCAGTTATTGCAATAGCTGGAAATTTATTTGATCGATGACAACTAATCAATTAATCGTTGCAGCTCTACATTCCAATTACATAATAAGGGATGCACACAAGATTATTAACACCAATCCCATGTTTTAATCACCTACTAGGTACTGAAATAATTTTAACCATAGTTTAAATATGTGACATATTCATACTAGAAATTTGGGTAAAATTAAAGCAGTGAAGTAATGTCACTAAAGACAGATAAACATAAACGTGTACTAAAACACAGACTTATTAGTCCTCTCAGGAACTTTACCAAAATTACCAAAAACGTGGCCACTTTTGTGCATGGTATATACTCATACTACATGCATATGCTAATATTATTGATAAAATTGTCAACATCTACTGAACAAATGCATTTTTGTTCCTTTTGATAACAGCAACAACTAATATATAGCCCTCAAAACATGCAGTACTTCTTCGAACAAATCAGTGACCCGCTTTGCTAATTCTGCCCCAAAGTTTCCCAAGTGGTATTTCACTTTTCATGTATTTCCTTTTACACATTTTGCTATGACTTGTTCATACAACCCAACCCTTAAAATGCCAAGGGTCACGAGTCAAACATATGCAGCACGGATTACAATTTATTACCCCACATTTGCCTGATAATTTTTCTCTTTTGACAAGCTTAGGTAAATCATATAGCCTACTCTATAATGTATGAGGGCTCTGCTGGCTTGATGAGTAAAGTCCATTGCTATTGGCTGTTACCCCTGTGGTGTTTGAGTTCCCATAAGACCAATAAGGCTTGTCTGTGTTCTAACATGACTGGAGTCACTGCAGGAACAGGTAGAGGTCCGTGTATTTATAGAAACTATATGCAAATGGTTGAGTGCCACGTTGGATTGTTAGTGCAGAGAGGTGACAGTTAAATACATGTACATAGCGGGAAAAATATAGGCTTCTCTCTCTCTTTGAGACAAGTCTAATCAGTTAGGATTGCCTCCCCTCCTCATTTCATTTGAATACATTCAGCTTGAACTCAGACTAAGGAAGTGTCTCTCCCCTCCCATGTATATTATTCCTTCCCGCTGAAGGCTCATTATTTTACAGCAGGGTGTGTGAGAGGCGGCCCCAGTCTCTGAACTCTCTGTCGAGGCTGTATTAATCAAACTTCACACAGCGGGAAAGGGTCCACCCGCTGACACGGCGCTGCTCACTCTACACTTCAGGACAAAAGGGAAAACACACAACCTAAGCTGTTTCTGTAGAACATCTACAGCTTCTTGGAGATTACCACTTTTAATTATTTTAACAGCTACAGCCATACCTGTTTCCAAAGATTGGCCCAATGATAATTCATGCCCACCAAAGTTTTACATAACTGTTCAAGCATTTCAGCCAATGTATGTTACGCTGACATTGTCCTCCTCTTTCTCCTCACCACAGTGGATAACAAGATCTTTGCATGGGGAAATGGCGCCAGTGGACAGTAAGTAAATGTCAGAAGTAACAATATCTGTCTTGCTTTGACAGCGTCTGAAAGATGAGAATGAGCAGTGATACTTTAGGGGACTACTCAGGTGTCCATAAAACTATCCTTGCTTAGTTTTGTTCTGCCCATCGGCCCTTCAGATGTCTTCTTGTCTTCTGACAGCGTACTGTACAGCTGTATATTAAACTGCGGAAAGGCACTGACTGACAGACAAACAAACACATAGTTATACGCAAACACAAGTTGTTTTTCTCCTGATGAGCTTCCTTGTTAAAACTTCTCCAGCCAGGAGCCAGTCTGGCTATAATGACATCTAAGGACCTGGGGGCTACAGTGATTCAGTGGCCCTCAAGTACTCGAACAGCTGCATGGCAGACCTCAGAGAAATACATAAAAGAAACAAAGGCATCACTTCTCACTCTCTCATCATTTCCCATTGTCCCTTAGTCTCCTTCTCTCAATCTCCATTTCTCTGTCTGTCTCGTTCTCTCTCTCCTCATGATGCTTTGACCCGTCTAAGCAGGTCGGGGCTCTCTAGTGGGGAGCTTATAGTTGGAGGAGCCTATAGTTGGAGCTCCACAACACCCACTTGCAGAGCAAAGGGTGAGCATCTCTGTTACACAACTGGCACTCTGATATCTGAAAATTCCTCAGCTCTCCTGTGTGTCTCACTGGAGGCGAGAGAAGAGAAGAGTACGAGGGAGCTGTGTAAATTTAAACTGGCAAACTTTCTGATGGAAATAGCTGTGACCCCAGAGTGGTCTTGTCTTGAGTTGAAGCATTGTTGTAATCAATACGGGTTCTCGTGGGGATGGCGGGCGAGGACCTTTCGTTCCCCGTTTGTGGAAATAATGGAGAAGACTGTTTGTTATTTTTCCCAGACATGCCGCAAACTAGCAGATATGGCCGGGGCATTGCAGGTTATGACGCTGGCTCAGGGAAACAAATACAAAGAGGAGCATTTTATCAAGAAGCAAACAGCAGAGCTCTGTTTGAAGCTGCTGGGAGCTCACAGGTCACAGGGGTTCTGGGGCTGCGTTTGACCAGCTCATCTTGAAACAGGGTCTTGGATGTTCTTTGTTCACTCACACGAGGGACGCAGAGACAGAAACACCACTCTCAGCTAAGGCCTATGTAAAGTCATTTGTGCAGCTACAAATTGAGTTAGGTTCAGTTATTATTTCTTCCCCTGGAACGTAAAACTGACCTCAATGAAATACGCCTGTCAGACATATGTGACTCTTGTCTGTGTAGAGTAAACATACCAGAAACACAACACCACGATATTGCTGCAGCAGTGCAACCTTTAAGTGGTGTATGTTGTCATCCCCGTCATATATGAAATGAGAAACACAAACGCGTGGTGTTAATCAAAACACCTTGACTTTATTGGAATGGTTATTTTATACTGCAGAAAATAAAGAATTCTGAATTATTGTCCAGCCCACCTTCCCCTTAAATCTTTGGCTCTCCTGTGCACGGTAATGTAAGAAACAGTGAAAATGTATTTTCTGTTTGTTTTTTTCTAGGCTGGGTGATGGAGAGAGGGCAGTAAAGGATCAGCCAGTTGAAATTAAGTTGCCACAGGACCACAACGTCAGAGAAAAACTTGCACATGTGGACATCGTCAGCATAGCCGGTGTAGCTTGTGGAAGCAGACACTCCGTTATATGGACTGAAACTGGGCAGGCCTTTGGTTTTGGGAACAACTTTTATGCCCAGCTAGGCTATGATTTCCAGAGGGCTGACTTCAAAGAGCACCAGGTATGAAGATATTGTTCTGTTTACAGTAATGACCAAATCAAAACCTAATGCATGATTGCTGCAGGTACCTTCTGAACATATGAAAGATTTTGGATTCATACAAGTCGTATTAGGTAGACACATGACCCACACAAAACAAAAAAAGTCATTCATTACAATAAAAGCAATGTCATTTTCTCACATCCCCTTAAAACATCTACACGTTCTCTGCGGTATAATATTAGTTTTTAATTCACTGTTGGGATGGGGGTGGAGGAGGGTGGGTGGGGGCTGATGTAGGCAGGACTATGTGATGGATACCTCAAGGGCCTGGATGGCTTTTTGTTGGTTGCCGCTCTCAATCTCTGTCCTTACGTGGCTTACTATACAGTAGCATGCTGCTGAACTACACAAATCCTAAATTAAGTGCTGTGGAATTGAAATTGGCTCTCTTGTGAAGTGTTCCACTTGCATTGGAGCTTAATTTTGCCTACTCATATCATTTGATTCAGTCCCTCAGTCCCTCTTTTGCTCGCTGCAGCCCATCGCTCCCTCTTCCTTCTCATGCAAAATAAGCCCATTTACCGCAATGTGACAGTGTCTAGGTGAATGATTGCCACTCAACACTTGATATATGGGTATGTGCGTCTGTGCGCATGTGTGCTGGATAATATTATGTCTCCAACAGATTTGCCCAGTCCCTCGCAGTTACATTAGTGTGTTGTACATGAAGTCTTTAAGTTTTTTACACTCCCATATTGTAATGGATAGATTAAAAAAATATGTAGATGCTTTGTTTGTGTTTTTTTACTTTGTATTTTACTCCCCTTGCCTGTGCTCCTCTGTTTCTCCTGTACTGCTGTCAGTACACAGAAGCTTTCTTTCAAGATCCTCTCTGCTTACCTGCCTAGTCAGTAATGTTTGATTTGTTGCTTTTGGAGTAAATTTATCTTGCATCAGTTGGTGATTTTTTTTATTTTTATTTTTTAAATAATCAGGATAATGCTTTCTTGTCTTGTTGCCGGCTGCTTCTCTTGCCGTGTTCCAGCAATTACATAAAACAAATTCACATTCGCGATGTTTTAGAGTTCATGAGAGACTAGCCTTACACTGCACTGGAGGGCAGAAAGTAACAGCCACCTGGCAGCAGTGTTGAGGCCCAAGGGCCAAAGCTCTTACCTCTTTTCGTTGATAAAGGCCATTTGGATCTGCATGACTGCACCCTGTCCTTACATCTTGAAGGAGGAGGTGTAGGGGGGGGGGATGATGCAGCGGCAGCGGCTGCAGAGAATGGGACTTGGTGGTATGAGTATCTCAGAGTCACCTGTTCCTCTCTGTAGCCATACCAGTGACCTCTGATCGCCCCAGGTGGAGAACCAAACCTCGCCCTCTCCCTTCTATTCCATTCTCCAACTTCTTTCATCCCTTTTGATTCCCTGTGAGGATTTTTTTCTGCAGAACCAGACAAGCTGCTCCACCTCCAGCTATCCTCCAGTCTCCATACTATATGATACTGGCTATTGTTGTAAAGAATCTGTATGTTGGAACTGCCGGCTTCACCCTTAAGGCTCGGTTTCTCCTTTTTTGTCTGGAATGGAGTGGTAGCAGACCTCTGAGATCTAAGAAACACTATATTCTGTTCTTTATTGGCCCAGTGATAAGGTGTTGGGATTCCGCTCACACCTGCGAGCCCTTTGTTCAGGCCCGCTATGTCGTTGCACCTGCAACAGACAAGGTTAGACAGATCTCCTATTTAATGGTTTGATTGACATTATTTTAATGTAACACCGCGGGGAGCTATATATCTGTGAACGGAAATGAAAGTTAATCTTATTTTTTCCCCCTTTCATGTCTCTGTCCCCCTCTCTCTCTTCCCTCATTAGGACAATGACATTGTCATTTTCTCAGGGTTTGAGGGATGTGTTTGTATGCAGATAGGACAATTCCTTTCTGGGTTTCCATGTGATGCCTTGTATAAACATTATGATTAAACAGGACTCCAGTGTTGGGGCTGTAGTTGTGGTAGGTTTTGCAGTATCAAGATGATGTCAGAAACTGTAGTTTTTTGTTTTTGTGTGTATGACTTTTTTTTCCTCCCAGTGTACACACCATAGCCAAGTACCACCCATTCACAGTATTTTTTCAGAACGAGGCAAAAAGCAACCATGGGAGCAAGAAAATAAACTCTGTTCCTAAGTGTGACACGTGTGCAGCTTGAGCTTGGCACGGCATCCGTGTTCAGCCTGGCTGCACACAACTTGTTTGAATGTCATATTTATCCCTGTGTTTTGTCAGAAAATTAACTTCCTGTGAGTTTGCGGCAGAGCCGAGCATATGGCCACAGCTCTCTGGAGATGACAGCCTAGCGGAGCGGGAGCTCGCCGGTGCCGCTGCCCTGCTCTGGCGGCAGATGCTCCGGGCTTCTCCGCGATTAAGTGGAGATCATCACTGTTTTCTTTGAGCACCGCTGTGCCTTGTACTCTGAAGTGTTCCGTTAATCACTGCCTGCCTCCCTGCCTTTTCCACACAAGCTGCCAAAGCACTCATTAAGTTTGAATCTCCCTCTCACCGCTCGCTTGCTCACCAGCTCGATACAGTGCGTGACTGAATCTTAGCATCTTTTCTGCAGGTTTGTTACACCTTTTTGCCAAAAGGAATCGTAAAAGCCACATTTTTACTTTTCGCTTGCTTGTTTGACAAGCATATGCGATTCCATCTCAGGCCCTCTTTTGCTGTTCATTCATTTTTTAAGACATTGTGTACACTCTGTAAAGTAAGTGTTGCTCTTTGAGCTGCTGAATGTTTTCTCTAGTTTGTGTATGCTGATGTGGTCTGTATTTGAGTTTTTCCCCAAGCGCTAAGATACTGGCAGTACAGGCCTCTGAGGGGAGTGAAGCCTTTTCTACACTTGTGTTTTTTATGCCTCTTTCCTCTCTGTCTGCATATTATTAGGAAGCACTGTTAGTCATATTTACCTTTGTCAGACATTGCTCCGTTAGCAACTGTGTGTGTGTGTGTGTGTGTGTGTGTGTTTATATATTGGTTTTATGGAATCAGAATGCAGGTATAATGTAAATCACAACTTTGGTCAAAAAGAAACCAAAAAAAAAAGAGATACAAATTGAGCCTTTGTTTAGCCCCCACTGTCTCCCAACCCCAGTATCTCGCATCCAGTTGTGTTGCGTATATCTCCTACACAAGCAGCCATCCATTGTTATTGTTAAACATTGTGACACGCTTTAACCCTGATTGATCTTGATCTCCGACACAAATAATAATGTGATTACAGGCTTTTCTCTGCTTCTGTTTTCACCGCAGTGGAAAATAACATTAGATATTTCCTTTCATGTTAATCGCCTTGGTTGGAAGTATACCTCAGTGCACCAATAGGCCTCAGTAATGCCTCCTTTCTTCTAAAAAAAACATCCAAAATAACCTATTTGCAGCACACCCACACACACATTGCTTAGCTCCGTAACACCGTTATTCTGCACCTATCAAAGCCTGGCTTGCTTGTCCTGGTGCAGCGATCATTCCCCCACAATAGCGGGATGGCATTACTGTTCTTGTGAAAGCATTTGCATGGCAAAGCAATAACATGCACCTTGTAAATAAAGGAATTGATCCTGTTCATCGCAGGTGGATTTCCTGGATAAAGCTGTAGGAAATGGATCGCTGTGCCATCTCACGTCAATATATACAGATCCCGTTCCTTCATCCTCAAGTTTACTTTGCAGTAGGTGTCTGCTTCTTAATCTTGTCAGGCAGACACAAAAATGTATGCGATTCCCTCTGCTGCACTGGTTACTTGGCAGACAGCTGATTAGTGCCAGTTTGCCTCTTTTTCAATATGTAGATACCCAGATAGAAAGCTGGCCCTATTCATTGAGTCCAAGTACCAAAATAGCAATTGCTGTTCTCAATCAACTACGAAGAAATTGGCTTGCATTGTTGGAAGAGGTTGATTAGTGACTTTTTGAAGAGGCACTTGAAATTACTTTCAAATCAGTCTGAATTGACAGACAGCTGGTTGAGCATTCATTCTACAGTGTGAGGTCAGCAATAAAGGCTAATGTTATTTAAAAAATTTTTTTTTTTATCATAGCTCATGCTGTATGAGTGCCATGCATTTGCACCCTCTGGGCCTGCATATTGTTATTCAACACAATAAACGTTTATCTCATCTACTCAGAATTAAATCTATTCACAACTGTACAAATTGCTGCTGTGCTCTTGGCAAGGTACAACTAATTTTTAGACGAGGAAATTCCTTGTCAGGAGCAGCCAAGGGAGAAGGTGTCAGTTTGATACCACAAGTACACTAACGGCTGTGCGGGAGCATAAGCGTTTGCTGCGCTTCGGTGGTGGTGCGTTTGATTTCAACACTGACCACCGGTGATGCCAACCCTGTAGTCCTCATCTGAGCTGCCTCTTGAGACACAAACATAGACAGCCCTCCCCCACATCTCACTCAGACTGATGCTGCTGAGGGAGAGAGACGGAGAGCGGGAGAAAGTGAGAGGCTGCCAGACAATAAAGTCGTTGTAGAGTATATACTTCTCTGGCTTGTCTATTGTTACACTGCAGTACGTGGGAACTCAGTGTGGGTGTACAGCGACCTCAGCTACTATACCCATCTCCCCTAGGGGCACCTCAAAGGACACTTGTTCTGTTCCTTCTCTCAGGCCCTGGGCTCTGCTGCAAAATGAGAGACAGGAAAGCGGGAACAGAGGGAGGTAGTCTCAGCTGTGCTGGAAGGCTAACCTGTGCCTGTGGAGATCCTGCATCTTTTTAAAAGTACCCATCTTTGTGACTCTTCACTCCCTCCTCTGACTTCTCCAGGGCCACAGTGTTTAAGTTGTTCAGCATGATGACTTCTGTTGCACTTTGGAACTACTCTTTTTGCCATTAGATGTTATGCAAAGTTTGCGCTTGAAATGCGCATTATTTTCTCAGTGTGAATGAGAGAATATGGTGTTTGTGACCTTGTTTCAGTTTGAATCATATGCCCCACTGTTTCC